TTATCATTCTTTATATTAATCCTCTAAGATTTTGGCTCAAACAAGGAAAAGGAATAATAGAAAGTAAATGTGAATTTGGAAAGCTGGAAATCCTTTTAGTTTAGTTATGTAAGTATACCTAGTGTCTTTTTGTGCACCATTATGAATAACTAGTGATAACCTGATGCATTTTCCCATCTTACATCCTCATTAACTGCGGGACACCAGTTCTGATTAATATCTATTGAAAGATCTGAAAGCATACAAGTATTCTACTTTGCAGTTTCCTTCGCAGATTTCAGTCATATCTATCTAGAATGCGTTACATGGGCTAATGACCCTTTTATACACTATCAAGGAGTTAATCAACACCTTTTTCTCTCTCTTACTTCCGCCCATCCTCTCTTTTGGCAGTCGAGCTTCAGATTTTGGATTGATGAAAATTGATGAAACAGGGCGTATCATCCAATTTGCTGAGAAACCAAAAGGCCCTGCTTTGAAGGCAATGGTACATATATCTGGACTTCCACGCCTGGAATTTTGATAAATTCTTTCTAAAATGAAAGTTAACAAGTAATTTAATTATCCCCTTACAGTCTCACTTGCTTTCAAATTGTATCTTTTCCTTGGTAACTTGTGTTGTACATCTAATATTTTACTGCAGCAAGTTGACACATCTATTCTTGGACTATCTGAGCAAGAGGCAGCCAATAGTCCTTACATTGCATCCATGGGTGTTTATGTATTCAGAACTGATGTTTTACTAAAACTTCTAAAATCGGCATACCCTTCATGCAATGACTTCGGCTCTGAGATCATCCCTTCTGCTATAAAAGATCACAATGTCCAGGTAATAGCTGTTGGTAACTTTCTCAATTACAACTTCCTAGCCTTTTGAAGTTCACAAATTCTCTGTATTTCATACTTCGATTCTGACTGATCAATTTTAATTAGGCATATTTGTTTAGTGATTATTGGGAGGACATTGGAACAGTTAAGTCCTTCTTTGATGCCAACTTGGCCCTCACAGAGCAGGTGAGCAACTTAATCTTTACTACCATCTGACTACTTCTACTATTATGCAAAGTAAGAGCTAGAAAATTGACGCAAGGACTCTGAAGTATGAAGCAGTATTTTAAGTAATTTTGGAATGTTAGATCTCAGTGAAGTATTTTGCTTTTTTATTCATTTAGATTCACCGTAACCTCTACCTTCAGTTGTTGATTAATAACTTGTTACTGAATTGGACTTTTCCTCTTATTTGTTTCTTCTTTTTGTAGCCTCCAAAGTTTGACTTCAATGACCCAAAGACCCCGTTCTACACTTCTCCTAGGTTCTTACCTCCAACAAAAGTTGACAAATCCAGGGTATGCCAGTTAACATAAATAGTTGTGGTAAAACGTACTTTGAAAATGTCATGTTAATACTGTTTATTGTCAGATAGTGGATGCAATAATTTCACATGGTTGCTTTATGAGGGAATGTTCCATCCAGCACTCTATAGTTGGTGTACGATCACGCTTAGACTATGGTGTTGAGCTTAAGGTATGTTTTCATATTCTAGCTGAAAGCTTTTCTTATCTGTTTTAACCAGAGAGTTATACCAGTTATAGCCTTGACCTAATTAAAAACAATATCCTGCACTCATCTGATGCATTGTAACAATTTGGAAAACCTAGATGACATATAACTATATAAGGCACATAACGGTTACCATCCATGAAGGGGAGCCTTGGAGCAACGGTCAAGTTGTCTCCGTGTGATCTATAGGTCACGGGTTCGAGCCGTGGAATTAGTCACTGATGCTTGTATCGGGGTAGGCTGCCTACATCACATCCCCTTGAGGTGCGGCTCTTCGCCGGACCCTGCGTGAACGCGGGATACTTTGTGCACCGGGCTGCCCCTTCTAGCGGTTCCCATCCATCCTGTGGATATGCCATCAAACTAGTTGTAGGAAGGATGATTTATGACAGTATGGATACTTTCAGCCAAATATGCTTTACAGTTTGGACTCCTGCTGCTTTCTTGCTTTCTGCAAATAAGCTGGTAAGATGTACCCTTGGAATGGATTTTAGCATAGTGGAGCAATGAACTGCAAGCATGTTGGTTTAGAACTTTCTGTTATGTGCTACAAGAATCTTCAATTTATGAAGCATCAAATCTGGTCAAATAATATTTTTGCATCTGTTTGTTTTCTACATAGCATGGTCTCAACATGTTAGTGCTTTTATCGTAAACAGCTAGTATAGTGCTTAGTTGATTATAAGCTGAATAATATCTTACACTTCTCAGGATACCATGATGATGGGTGCGGACTATTATCAAACTGATTCTGAGATCGCTTCATTACTAGCAGAAGGAAAGGTTCCCATAGGGGTTGGACCTAACACCAAGATACAGTAAGATGTTCTACTGAACTTAACTCAATTCTCACCCTTGTTGATGGTAAATTGACCACTCAACATGTTCTACTATCATTATTCATTCCGGTGTAGTTTTCAGTTGGTTTGACTAAACTTTGACGAGGTTACCTTTAGAGGACTTTGACATGCTTTTCTTTCCATTTTCTTGAAGAAATTGCATAATTGACAAGAATGCAAAGATAGGAAAAGACGTGGTTATTGTGAACAAGGAAGTAAGTATCTATCTTTAGTAGTGTGAAATCACTACCACAAAAGAGAATACAAGTTTGACTGATACTTGGGTGTTGCCAGGGTGTTGAAGAAGCTGAAAGGCCGGAGGAAGGATTTTACATTAGGTCTGGGATTACTGTCATAATGAAGAATGCGACCATTAAAGATGGGACAGTCATATAAAACTTGACATGCATTCTTGCTAGTGGATCAAGTTGATCGTCGAAGGAACTAAAGGTAGGGTGGTACGATCTAGTGATAATGAAAGGACTTTCGGACATATAATTTACTAGTCACTTTTCATGTATGTAGAAGATCTGCCTACCAAGGATTTAGTACTGTTATGTAAATCTTTTTGGCGCTCCTATGAAATTCAACATTTAGCAACCTTACAGCAGTTTATTAACAGAACATGCAATGGTTTACTTTTCGCTTATGGCACATTCACTTTCTCGGCAGCAAGTAATTTTTGCCCGACGTATAAAATCGCTCCTAAAAAAAGTCAAAAAAATCGTTTTCTTCTTGTTTTAGATTTTTGTAGGATTGTTAAAGAATTTCTCTATTTATTTCTGCAATATATTGCATTTTTGCATTTTTTTTCTTTAACCTTAATTTCATTGTTAGATGCATTAGTTAAATACATAAAATCACGAATTGCATTTTTAGGTTAGTTAATTAGTTGCATTAGTCCATCATTAGGTAAAATAGATAAATAAGCTAGCCATACAAAAATGGGATTTAATTAGATTGTTGAGTTAAAAGTGGCTAATTGTGCAAAGCCTAATAAAGAAGGAAAAGAGTGGCTCTTTAGAGGTTAAATTCGAACTTGGGCCAGTCTTTGGGCCTAGTTCTTACCCCGTTACACCTGCCCCAACCCACTTTACCGGGTCCAGCCTTCAAGCACCCAAAACGACCCCGTTTTGCTGGTATTCGATTTCAACCGTTGATTTCCTACGATCCTACGGCCCAGAACTCCCTTTTCCCATCCCTTTTAACTGTCCGAAACCCTAATCCCCCCAAAGACCTCATTCTCTCATCTTCCTCATCCCTCCCAAATCCTCTCAAAACCCTAGCCGCCCCAAATTCCTCCACCGGCGGCCACTACCCCAATCACTCCCAAATTAACACCCTACAATTCCAAGCTTCACCTCGTATCAAATCCATGACCAACTTCCCCAGTAACCTTCCCAAAATCCACGAATTCAAGATCCAAGAACCCCCAGAAAAACCTAGTTTCACCCTTTTCAATTCTTGAAGTTCCAGAACACGATTCGAGCTGAAACTCACGTGAATCGATTGTTCTGAACGAGAACGATCGATTGACGTTACTTTGGGCTCATTTCGAAAGTATTCGGATTCGATGGTTGACTAAAACATTACCGGAAAAGCTTTCTTGCTTTGTTCAGGTAACATTCGTTTTTTCCTTTCTTCTTTTCCCTCTTCTCTTGTTGTCATTTTTAATTTTCTTTTTTACATGTTAGCATAATAGGATTTAACAAATAACTAGTTCTATGTTTGCATGTTTAGAGTTATTTAATTACTTGTTAATTTTGATTCATTTAGTGTTTAGAGCCATTGTTTTTCCGTTTTGAAATTTTCTTCTGTTTCTGTCACTCGAGTTGGTATTGCTTGGTCGAATGGGGACCTGCCTTGTTTGACAGGCAGGCCCATTGGTTTCGAGTCAGTAAGTTTGGGCTAAGGCGTGGTGGTCAATTGGCCCAAATCTTTGAGGTTGTTAGGGTAAAAGAAAAGAAGTTAAAAGTAAATTAAGGAGACAAAGGAATAGAAGGGGGCTGTTTTGAAAAAGGAATTAGACTTTGG